TTTTTTGCGGTTTCTTTTCTCTCGATACAATTTGATTATCAAATCGGGGGTTTCTATATAAATAATCGTCCCGCTTCTCTCAACAGTGTATGTCTAGAAAGTCATCTTCATATCCGCCACATCATGCTCTACCACTTCGAGAATGGTTGGAAGGTGGCACACTCATGGAGTGATCTCAACGAATGTTTCCGCGATGGAACGGGCAGCCAAAACCAAGTAAGGAATGGAATCTGCTCCTACATCCGTCCTACTCACCAAGAGAAACTCTCATGGATTATAACACCAATAGTTCTTTGAAATATTTGGTAGCGAACGAAACTTACGAGCAAATGGATGACTTAATGGTCGATGTCAAGGCGTGGGTCGCCTCCAAGTATTGAAACATCTTCGCCTGTGGAATCCGACTGCTCAGCAAATGGGAAGCAGTGCTTGGCGTAGGTGGTGTATATGTTCCAGAGTAATTATTTGAGCATCTCCTTGCCAAATATTTTTACTGTTTTTCAAGTAAAATTTGCTGGGAAAAAATTCGCTATAATTATGCATCAACCTAATAGTATCACAAATCCAGCATGTACAGTAGCGCTCAAAAGTCTCCGGTGAAATGGTTCTTCACCCGTACTTTTCAGTCGTAACTCCTTTCCTACTGGGTCTTATCATGCGAAATCTCTATATTTGGAGCGTGGGTGTATTGTGAATATTTACCACTATTAACCTGCAGTCTGATGATGTTCCAGATATTCCAAAGAGCTTGAACTCAAAATCGTCTGAAAATACAAATGATGGTCCTTCTAGAATCTCTTTCCGTTTCATCATGTCAGATGTGTACGAGCGGCAACGACGATCACAATAGATGAGAAAAACGCACATAAGGTGTCAATAAGTGCAGACGCCAACAACTTTAGTTTTAGCAAAATCTGCAACCGCAACAAACACCTTTGTCTGTGGATATTACAGCTTTGCAGTCAAATAGGGTTGGGTAGGGTGAAATATGCTCTAGTTAAACATATCCAAATTTCGCGTCATTTGGTCTACTAAAAAAAGTTATGAACGAAAAAGCGTCAAAGCATTTCACCGAAGGCTTTTGAGCGCTACTGTATATCCAACAACATATAGTCGCAGCATTGAGGCTTTCGGGACGCTGTGTTTGAGGTATCATACTGCATCCTATTGCACAATCAAAGCGGCCTATAGCAATTCTTTTGTGGCTGGAGCTTATTTAAGTAGTTTCTTGTTCCGGGGTGTTCTGGCAATACTGGGAAAAAAGTCTTACCTGCATAGGAGTGAACGACTTTTGAAGTTGTTCGAAGACTTCTATCCTGGACGTCTGTTCCTTTCCAAACAATTTGGTCACATTTTTCTTCGTTAGATAGATAGGTTGACCGTCTGGTCCACGAATTCGTCTCACGTCGTTACTCGCTGTTTGGTTTGCTTTTTTCTCCTTGAATATACTTATGTTAGGGCACTTCATCTATGATCGACCTTCCTAATCGATATCTACGGCACACATACTTACTTTATTACGCTATAATAGACGATCTACCCAAGAGCTGAGAGCTCTACAAGGAGGGGAGGTTCATTTCAGCTGACAAACATAGGAAACTCTCCAAACCGCCTGACACCTTTGCAGTAAAGACATCATCTCTAGCTGTCATCGTCTCATAGTTATCTATCAAAATGAATGTCAAGCATGAAGAAGAGGGCTTGAAAGAGCGCTATACATGAACACAACAAGAAGGAACATCTAAGTAGTTAAAAAACGGATGAACTGGCATGCCCGGCAGCCTTAGCGGTAAACGAGTTTCGAAGTTCGATGAACTACTAGTCAATTGAGGGCCAGAGTAGGAAGTCTGAAGAGAATGATTTGGCCAAATGTTCGAGGCATGAAGAAATTAGAAATTCCATCTGACGCATTTTCCAGAAGCAGAGAGATGTTTGATTATGTTCAAAAAAGTATTATTATTTGTTCCTAGCTTATACCTTGGCCTTTTCGAGCACATCACCAGCACCCGACGTCTCAATCACGAAGTCCATCCAGTCTTGTTGATCACGATTATCCAGTAAGCCGGTGAGATTAAGTAAATTTGGTAACGATGTCAATTTTTCTATACCATTTCCTTGATTGTGTAGGGAGAATAGCGATGGAGAAAACACGTTCACCTAAAAAGAGATCTTGTACATTTGTAGAGTTTACTGAAATGAAACTGAATTAAGACGATATCGTTTGACAAGAAGGCTGAAAAAGTGTTTCACCTCCTTTGTTTTGGTGTTTTCATCTTCCGGTAGAAGACTCATGATTCTTGGACTTATCATCTTCACTGTCTTGTCTTCGAAGCCAGAAGCGTTCTGGCCCGCTAACATCATAGCCAGCTTGGCTCCTAAACATGTAATAGATGAAATGATGGTAAATACGAACAGAAACGGTAGTGAACCATTGAAGAGTGGTAACTCGTACATATTGTGATCATACTGCCTTATTGTCATAGTTTTTCTCTATGCTGACCACATAGATATTTATCCCTGCAACCCTAATCAACTTACCTTCTCTTACAAGCATGATCGGTTCAGCAACCGCCTGATCGAAGGGTTTCGAAGACTCCTTTCGTTTCCTAAATTCCCTTTTCATCAATTCCATTTGGTCGTAGTGCTCGTGCTTCAGCACATTTTCGAGATGATGCAGTTTCTGGAACATGAGAGCATGACACTTTTGACACAATATAGACTGATCGGAGTACTTTTCAAAGAGCTAGCAAAAGTTTAAAAGTTAGCAAAGGCAAGACTTGCCACTGTACGTTCCTTTGCACACCGTCAATCGAGTCAACTTAAAGGCAGTATTGTATAATACAATATTGTTAACATAGAAGCCCACTTACGGACAAACTTCTTTTCCCTGACTTCCTTCTCGACTGCTTGCCCTCCTCATATGCGGTGGCGGCTTTTTTGAAGAAGTGCATACGCTTCTTCAGTTTCTCTTCGAGTTCACGTTTTTCGTGCTCTTCTTCAACGAGCCGCTTGATATCCGATACCACTTCTTGCCAGCTAAACGACGAATTATTTTGAGACCGTAGCAAAGCGTTTCGATATCTTTGTAAAAATTCTGGGGTTGGCTGCAAAAAAAGACTGAAAAAGTGAATTGCTGGACACGATCATCTCCTTCGTACGTAATTGTCTCATCTTATAGATCAGGGAGACATTAGTTGGTCGAAATCCACTACAATTCAAGTTCAACAGTTCAGAATGGGTGGGCTGCCGTCCTTTTGGCTATTCACAATGACTATTATCTAGATGAGCTCATGTGCGTGAAATGACACTTTTGAGCAAGTGAATAAATAAATAAATAAATAAATAGGTAATCAGTAGAATATTTAATGAGAAAACGTCTTCAAACGTTTGTAAGTTCTATACCTCTGTGGGAAGCAATCATTTTGAATTTTCAAGTTTCAGCCTCCAAGAACCAAATCTTACACGCTTGGAAGAGATTGGGAAAAAGGGATTGGCATTCTTTCAAGGTCGTTTTTTGGTTTTTTTGTAATCGATTCATTACCAAAACCACTTGAGCTAGACTCAGAAATGATCCATGATATATATAAACCGCTAACTTTGTGTGTCCGTTTGTAT